CATCGTCGGAATAACGGGGCCACAAGGATGTGGCAAGACGACGCTCTGCGCTTCCCTCCTCGTGAGATGACTTCAGTCCATCTTTTTGCTCTAGGCTCAGTAACCCCTCGGATAGCTGCAGCAGCAGCAGCAGCCGCAGCAGAAATACAAGCCAAGTGGCACCAGAAGCAATAGTGGGAGTGGTGCCGCCATTTTGCAGTTTTGCCTTTCGTACTGGTTGAGGTTGTTCACCTTGCGTCCGAGCTGCGACAGCACTCCCCTTGCTGTTTTCGTGCCAAGCAAAAACTATTCTTACTCCTTTCCTTGCAGCGCGAAATTCGCTTTGGACATACCCTCGCTGTCTGTCTATGTAGGCTGGTCTCAGCGTCTTGGGCGTGAAGGCGGCAACAGCCTCTATGGATGATTTCTACTTGCCCACTAAATTTCTACCACCCATAATCTTCAGGGGTGAACCCAACTCCAGGCCAAGACTTCTTCCTCGTCGGGGCCCTCCGGGCACACATGATCTAGCCCTGTGCTGCGGCGTGTTGAGACGCATCAAGGAGAGAGAACCGTATGTTTCTACAGGAAGTGAAGTGCAGTCCTGGTGGGGGAGGGAACATGCCGTGCATGTTACTTTGTGTGTTTAGTGAAACTAACTGGTTGAATCTTTAGGCTGTAGGGGTGGTCGCCTAGGGTTGGGGCTGCGACTGCTGTGGCATCTCTCCAGGAACATCATGCTGCCCAAGTACGACAAGAGTCAAATGAATGGAACGGGGGATAGATCACGTGAAGAGGTCCCGCTGGATGCAGCGGACCTCGACGTGTTTCTGTTGGAGGGATGGATGCTTGGTTAGTCACGCTGCTGCAGCTACCTCTGCCTTCACCACTGCTTCCTATGCTGCTCATTGAGAAGGCTTGCACTGCATATACTGCTTTAGATCCAGCTGGTTTTGCTGTTGCCCCTTAAAAACGCCATACTGGGCGTTTCATAGGTCGTACTCATAGACGTATCCCTACCATCTGTCTAGACCCAACGGCAGATGCAGGCATGGGTGTTCCCCTGCATATATGTATTCTGCGTTTCGTTGCACAGGATCAAATCCATACTCACGCCCTTGTATTTTGCTCGTTCCCCCACAACCACGTAGATTAGGGTGTCTGTAGAGTATGCATATGCATTAGGGAGAGCCTCAAGAGGTTTTTTCGCACATGCTTCACTGTATTTCGCTGCACATCTCTCGTGGGCCTGCAGGATTTCGTCATGTAGATCCGGATGTGCTCATGGAGTGGGATTTTTCCGACGAGCAACGAGAAGAACTGCTTCAAATTAACGAGTTCGCTTGCTGTTNCTCATGGAGTGGGATTTTTCCGACGAGCAACGAGAAGAACTGCTTCAAATTAACGAGTTCGCTTGCTGTTGCAGTTTCTAGCTTTTGCTTCGGATGCTGCAGCTGGTTGGCCTCCAGCAGCTGTTGTTGCTAGCTGCTGTAGTTCCCGTTGCTGCTAGCTGCTGGTGGAAAGGGCCCCCTAAGGTTTCTGCAGGAAAAGTAGTTGAAGCAGGCTACAAAATGCATGCCACATAACGAATTTCAGTTCGCTGTTTTGTGCTGACATCGGGGCTGCAGATCGCTGAAGGAGTATGAGCGGCTCTATGCATTTATGGACCTTTGGCTCATCGTCAAGGCAAGCAGCGGCAGTAAAAGCGAGATGCGATGCAACAACAGATTGTTTCCACTCGCAACAAAAGCTTGCAAAGCTTCGACAACTGTACATCGCCAGTAACATGACGTTCTTGCGAGGAATGTTTCCTTGTACTTTGTTTTATCTTTCTCCGCAGGTGGAAACGGCAAGATGGGTTTATAAATGGAGACGGCAACAAGAAGAGTAGGCATTACTAATACGTGCATATCATTAAATCCTACTAGGCAACCGAATGNGAGACGGCAACAAGAAGAGTAGGCATTACTAATACGTGCATATCATTAAATCCTACTAGGCAACCGAATGCTGTTTGCTGTTGCTAATAATGAAACAATGGCACGAAAGAGGCAAAGAATTCTGTCTCTTATTTCCTGGTGTTGCTGCAGAGACACGCGAAAACTGACAGGATCCGGTATGACGTCCGGCGAGGTCAACGGCTTTGTTGATAGGTGAGCGCCGCGTGGCGCAGTTATGCGGCATCTGCACGGTCACTGCGTGGACTCATCTCTCAGCGTTTGCGTTTGCATCCTTGCTCGTACAGGAAACACACATAGGGACAATGCAGAAACCCCAAATTTCTGGGGAAATATATCCTAGATTATATTACGTATTCTATGTATCCTCTCACCAGGCTGCACTCTAATGTCCTGTTGTTCTGAAATCAGCATCTTTTTGCATTACCTTGGAACACAGAAAATGTGTGAAGACCGATATACTAACTATTGTGAAAAGAGCCATGCATGCTGTGCACGCTCGTGATCTATTAAACAGGCTTGGGCGCCAAAAACACAAAATATACCTTACTTAGAGGCCTCTAGTTGGCTGCCTCCACATTTGTTACTACGTCCTAGTCATTTGGCTCTGCGCTGCACGTTGCCTATTCCATACATATGCGCGCCCGTATCTCTTCCTCCGTAAATCACAGCTGATCAATCTTTTAGCAGCGTGAACTTCCTGCAGCAGCATGCATGGATAAGTTTCACATCCGCTAGCTCGCAGTTTGCATGAGCATGAAATGTACTACAAATGCGTCTGTTTCCTGTTTTACGTGGCTGTTCAGGTTCATGCCACTGTACACGGTGTACTTGCCAGGGCTGTACGCCAATCCACCTCTTTCAGGGAAGGATCCTGACGACCAGCGCTGCCTCCTCGTTGAAGTTACAGAGCAACGGACAGTCAAATATGCTACATTCGTTTGATGGATTCTTGCGTCTTGGCTGTCCGTAGTATGCTCAGCCTCTGTTCAACAGTTTTTGCATCTGCATTTTGCTGGCCGCAATGCTGCACCGATAGCTTTTTCTCGTCTCGCTTCAAATTCTGTTGCTGCTTTTGCATTGATCAATTTTCCAACCCTGGACTCTATAGGTCTCTGATGGGAAGTGGTCACGGTTAGTCAATTGTCAGAGAGTTCAGTATCACCGTGTTCCTCTCTCGCTCCTTACAGCCTATGGGTTTTACCAACGGCAGTACCAGCTGCCGTAGAATTCCCATCACAGCAACCAATGCACTTTTGGATCGTCCCGCGTTAGTCTCCTCATATTTGCTTGCCTGTCCCTGAAGCCGCTGCCATTGGTCCTTCACCGCTCATTACCAATAGAACTCCCTCTGTTGCACTGAACAGGACCAGCTTCAGTCCCCGCGTTTTTATTTGTCGATACGGTTTTCTGCCTTCGGCGGTCTGCTCTCCAGTTGTGTGCATGGGTCTTTGTCCTGGCATATCATCCCATTATATTGAATCTTTGAGAAACTGGCTGTTGCCCGCCGAGATTACTCTTACTACAAGATGCAGTTGCACCACTGAATACGCAGTTCGTAGTGTATACCATACCGGAGCTGCCACTGTTGTTTATCGCTTGAGGAGCAGCAACATGGGCACCATCAAGCGGGCAATCTCCTGACACCCTCAGCTGCTCTTGGATGAATTTGCAAAGGTAGTAAGACATGTAGCACAGAAATGGTAGCCTACAACCGTCAAATTCGCCTCGCACAGACCGGGTGAGCGGATGCATCCAGTAAAGCAAATTAGCGCCATCGGTTTTGTGGCCTTTCCGGGTCAAAAGCTGCGTGCACCCTGGTATGTGCGTTGCCAAAATATTAAAGCAGCACACACTGCAATGTGTTGTTGGTTTGCAAGCGCATGATCGAATGGCTGCTGGCGCCCACGGCGTATCCTCCAGTCCATCCTTTAGCTGGCTTTGTGGAATATCGTGTCGGCCGTAAGCACATGCGACGCGTGCACGGCTACCTGCATGCACTCGTGCATGCTGGCTTTTTTGCTGTCTCCTGAGGCAGAGCCTCCTGCTGTTGCTGTTGTTACTACTGCGGGAACAGCAAAATGCCATCGAAGGCCTCAGGAGCATTTACAGGTCAAGCAAGCAAGAAGCTCAGCACTTCTGCCTCTTTACTCTTCGAGATGTTAGCTACGCGTGTTGCCTTTCTGTTGGCACTACTTGCGCATTCCTGTTTGTTGCGGCTTTCGTTACAATGGTCAAACTTGCCCGTCCGACTCCACTTGATTGATTGTATCCTCCTCTTTAGAAAAATCCAGTGCCGCATGCTTGGCCTCTTTCGCTGTTGTGACAATGCCCAAACTTGCATCCCTTTTCTCCCCCCCCCTTCGCGACCGAGTCAGTGTAGGCGACGTCATTCAAGCCCTATGGTTTCCTGCCGTTCTTCAGCTGTGCTTTGAGCCGCCTTACCTTTTTGCTCCGCCCAGGCTGCGAGAATTTGCGTACGGTAAGAACACTGCTCGGCCAAATCTTACCCTATGCGGGCGCGGAAAGGCGCTGTGCCGCCATTTGCGATGTTACTGCTCCTGCAGTTGCTCGCAGAGTGTGGAGGGAACGCCCATTTTTGTAACCAATGTATCAAACCTCTCCTCTTTATGTATTTCTGTCGTTTCCAACGTTTTTTTCCCTTTTAGTGCTACTTCAGTTTTTGCACCGTGAGTGCTGCTTCCGATGCAGTCGAAGGACAGCTGTGGCGCTCTTGATAATATGTCGCTAAACGCCAAGTGAACTCACACGCGTTGTCCTGGTACGGGTGGCTCTGATTTTGCTGCCGCTGGCGCTGCTTTTTGCTGCTGCTGCTGCTGCTGCTGCAGCGGCGGTTGCTCTAAATTGGTTTTGACATCGAGCGCGAAGGCAGTATTCGTTGGCCATATGCTGTTTGCGCATTCTGCTTTTCGGACTCATCCACAGTACCTTGACAACAGCTCATACTGGTGTTAATGCTCCTGGGGCTTGGTTCTTCAGCTGTCGCAGCATTACCGCTGATGTACTGACATCCCAGCACAGCGATATGGGGGATGACAGGTCTCTGCAACACTTCTGATGCTGCTGTGCAGCTCCTAGAATCTTTGGATAACAGCGTCAGCCTTCGCATGGCTGGGGACTCTGGAGGAAAACAGCAGTGGACAGAGCCGAGGTTGCAGGGCAACCTACTCCTGTTGTGACCGTCACAACGAACGTCCTTGCGAATAGAATGGAATAGCTCTGGCTGTGGGTTGGCAACTAGGGCCACGAGCTGCCTGCAGCTGATACGGACATTTCTACTTGCGCGCTAGTTGGTAACTGAGGGCCGACGAGGTGTCTAAAAATTGTCTTCGGCATTAGTACGTCCACCGACGGGGGCTTGGCCACGCTTACAGCAAGGAGCAGTGCAGGCCACCGCTTCCTCGCCGCAGTAGCCCGAGGCATCTGGACCGGC